AAGATCGGGCTGGGAGGGAGCCGCTGTTGCTGCTGGTGGCCTGGCTCTGGGGCTGGAAGGCTCAGCTGCCAGGGTGCCTGGCAACATCCAGGACTCTGAGCTCAGCCGTCCCTGGCCCAGGAAGGATTAGTCCGGGTCGCTCTGGCCCCCAGGTGACTTTCCATGCACATGGGAGTGTGGAAGCAAGCAGATGACCCTGAAATACCGTGCTTCCTGATACGCCTGCACTGCCCAACCTGCTACTGACCCCCACCCCTGCTACTCTTCCAGGAGGGTGAAAGCCCCTCCCAGCCCAGAGCCTCCTGGTAACGGCTTTTTAAACACTGGTATGACATTCTGACCACAGAAGACCTGTTCATTTATCAAAACCACCCCTCTCTGTGTGGACAGGCTTCTTCCTCTCTGCCCGTCAGCAAAGGGAACTGAGGCGAGCATTTGCCTAGACATTCAGATCCAAGTTCCCACCCCTTGGCTTTCTACAGCCACCCCAGCACCCAGGTAGCCAAATTAGCAAGCTGTCCCCGGAGTGCCATCTCTCTGGGGTCTTGCAGCCTGAGCATCGTCCTCCCCCTCCACCAACCCGAATGGCAAGTGCAGAAGACGGCGGAGTTCACTCTGAGGCTGGATAGCCCTGGGGGGGGCGGGGGTAGGATGCATGCTGGCCATGGCAGGGACCATCACACACATGAGCACTGCACCCGTCTCAAAACGGAGAGAGATGTGCGGGCACGTGACAGACCCAGCAGGGAAGGGAGGTCTGTGGGCTGGGCAGGTGCATCTGGAAGCCTCCCCAGCCCCTAGCCCATAGAGGCTGAGAGGAAGGACTCTTGCATCCACAGAAGGGCCTAGGTGGAGGACAGATGTAGCCAGGCCACCCCAGGGAGGGAGACGGGCAGGGCAGGCCGGAGGCCAGGAGAGCTGCTGCCCAGCCTTGCTGAGTCCATTAAATTTTCAAGTGGGCCTGGCCTGGGCATGCTGGGAAGGGGTGGGCCTGGCCTGGCTCTGCTCTCTCAGCTGTTTGCTGCGCTGCCACAGCCCTGCCCAGAGGGGGAGGGGGAGGGCAGATGATGCGGGAGCATCCCAGGTGACTCCCCTCTGGGGAGAATGGGGACAGCATGGGCCTTGGGCAGAGCCCTGGGCCTTCTCACCGGCCCCCTCCCAGGAGGAGACAAGTGGCCCACCTGGTGGGACTGCTCCTCTCTGCCTCTTGCACCCCTGCAAAGCCATTCCCAGAAGATAGTGCTCTCCTCCCCAGGTTCCCACCAAGGAGCGCTGCCGGCCTTGGCCCTGGGTGGTGGGCGTGGCAGGCCGGGCTGACCCGTCACTCCTGTCCCTCAGGTCCCAATTAATGGATTCTGACATGGATTATGAAAGGCCAAACGTAGAGACCATCAAGTGCGTGGTGGTGGGGGATAACGCCGTGGGCAAGACCAGGCTCATCTGTGCGCGGGCCTGCAATGCCACCCTCACCCAGTACCAGCTGCTCGCCACCCACGTGCCCACGGTGTGGGCCATCGACCAGTACCGCGTGTGCCAGGAGGTGAGGCTGTGAGGAGTTAGGTCCGCGGGGTCCGTACCTGACTCTGGGCTTCTTCCCAGGCCCCAGCTTGGAACCTCTGGGGTTCTCAGAGCCCCAGGGGGTGGGGGTGGGCCAGCTGGGGAGGGAACCCCTGCAGAGAGGGCCCAGGGAGCCGAGCTGGTACCCAGGACCCCGCTGTGTCCGGGGTGCCATATGGTGAGCAATTGGAGCTAAGTAACGGGGACCCCAGGGGCTGAGGCTTGGAAAAGATGAGAGCTGAGAGGAGGGAGAAACTAACATGAGGCCACGGGCTCATGATCGCTTGATTTGCAGGTGAAGCTGGAGGCTGGGCAGGCCCACGGAGTCCTCGCTACCCAACGGCCTGCCCTCCTGGCGGCCTTCCATGCTGGGGGCTTGGAGGCTGCCCTTATTTGGAGTCACAGAGACTCCAAGTGGACGAGTGTGTGAGGCACACAGCCCTGTCCCTCCATCCCCAGCTCTGCCTGGGCCCTTTGGGGCCAGCTGGCACCCTGCATCCACACTGGGGCCTGAGACTCTGCTCTGGACTCCCCTCCTCCAGGTGCTGGAACGCTCCCGCGATGTGGTAGATGATGTCAGCGTCTCCCTGCGCCTCTGGGACACCTTTGGGGACCACCACAAAGACCGCCGCTTTGCTTACGGGAGGTAGGGGCCTGCTGCCTGCGGGTGGCCTTCTGCTTTCCCAAGAAACACCAACTCTATGAAATCCGAATGGGAGTGGGGGCGGGGGGGAGGTAGAGAGCCCAGCACGGCAGGTCCTCCTGGGGGCTGGCGCGAGGAGCCTGGACTTGAGACTGGGGGTCTGGTTGGAGTCTCAGTGCTCCGTTTACCATCTCAGCTGTGAGGTAGTGAAGACGCTGATTTCTCATTCACGAGATAGCTGGGATGCCAGCGTGCATCCGAGCTCTGAGTGCTGCACAAAGCAGAGGCGCTGTTTATCAGCAGGTGTCTGTGTGAGCGTGCGGGCAGGTGCATAAGCCGGGTATGGGCTGGCGTGGGGGCCCCTGCGGAGGCACGGATGGGCTGAGGCGTGCGGCCTCTGCTCCCAGGATAGGTCCCCATTTCTAACTTGCTCTGCTCATGACCTCTCCCCCCAGATCCGACGTGGTGGTTCTGTGCTTCTCCATTGCCAACCCCAATTCCCTCCACCATGTCAAGACCATGTGGTACCCGGAAATCAAGCACTTCTGCCCCCGCGCACCTGTCATCCTGGTGGGCTGCCAGCTGGACCTGCGCTATGCCGACCTGGAGGCCGTCAATAGGGCCCGGCGCCCCTTGGCTAGGTAGGGGGTGTGCGTGCCTGGGGAGGGGTGTCTCTCAGGCTCCCTGCTCAGCCCCGTGGGAGTCTCGCTGCGCCACCTCTCCCTCTGCGTGGTGCAAGCTCACATCAGGAGCCGAGTGTGCTCACTGGCTCACTCACTGGGGCATCTGTCACACCTGCCGGGTTGGCACCACTGAGCTCAGCACTCGGGGGAAGACAGAGGGGAGGGGTGTTCACCTGAAGTGCTCCTCAACGTTGTTGATGCTCTGGATTTGCAAAGACGTTAAATGCCAACATGAAGCATTGCATGCTAATTGTCAGAGAGGGAGTCGGTGCTCCTGGGGCCTGGTTCAGACAGGGAAGGTTTCTCGGAGGAAGAGGTCCTGGAGGAGGTCCCTGAAGGGCCTTGGTAGGACTCGGCAGGCAGAGGAGAAGGAGCCCATGGGGGTGGGCTGAGGACGCCTGCCGTGAGCAGGGCCCCCGACATAGGCAGGCCCCAGCCGCATCAGCACAACTTGGCTTGTCCTCTTGGACCCCAGGCCCATCAAGCCCAACGAGATCCTTCCCCCGGAGAAGGGTCGGGAGGTGGCCAAGGAGCTGGGCATCCCCTACTACGAGACCAGCGTGGTGGCCCAGTTTGGCATCAAGGACGTCTTTGACAACGCCATCCGGGCCGCGCTCATCTCCCGCCGCCACCTGCAGTTCTGGAAGTCCCACCTCCGCAACGTGCAGCGGCCTCTGCTGCAGGCGCCCTTCCTGCCCCCTAAGCCGCCGCCCCCCATCATTGTGGTGCCCGACCCCCCCTCCAGCAGCGAGGAGTGCCCCGCCCACCTCCTGGAGGACCCGCTGTGTGCGGACGTCATCCTGGTGCTGCAGGAGCGGGTGCGCATCTTTGCCCACAAGATCTACCTCTCCACCTCCTCCTCCAAGTTCTACGACCTGTTCCTCATGGACCTGAGTGAGGGGGAGCTGGGGGACCCCTCGGGGCCAGGGGAGCCCCGCAAAGAGGACCACCGGGGCCACCCTGATCACCACCACCACCACCACGGGCGGGACTTCCTGCTCCGGGCAGCCAGCTTTGATGTGTGTGAGAGTGTGGACGAGGCTGGGGGCTCTGGCCCTGCTGGCCTCCGGGCCTCAACCAGCGACGGCATCTTACGGGGCAACGGAACAGGGTATTTGCCGGGCAGGGGCCGCGTGCTGTCCTCCTGGAGCCGGGCTTTTGTGAGCATCCAGGAGGAAATGGCAGAAGACCCTCTGACCTATAAGTCCCGGCTGATGGTGGTGGTGAAGATGGACAACTCCATCCAGCCGGGGCCTTTCCGGGCTGTCCTCAAATACCTGTACACCGGGGAGCTGGGCGAGAACGAGCGGGACCTCATGCACATCGCCCACATCGCCGAGCTGCTGGAGGTCTTCGACCTGCGCATGATGGTGGCCAACATCCTCAACAACGAGGCCTTCATGAACCAGGAGATCACCAAGGCCTTCCACGTCCGCCGGACCAACCGGGTGAAGGAGTGCTTGGCCAAAGGCACCTTCTCAGGTATGCGCCGGCCTTAGAAGGCAGAGGGTTTTCCCGGTAGCTTCCTGGGGGCCTGGGCTGGTCCCACTAGCGTTTCTAAGTGATCCCAGTTCCCAATGGCACGGCGATACGGCCACCTGCACCTGAAGCCTGGTCAGTCTGGGCTGGGCGTGTGGCTGTTTGGCGTTCCACGCCTGGTTTCAGAAGGGAGCTGGGACCCCTTGGGGCTGGCTACCCCACGTGCTTTCCCTGTGCCCTCATGTGGTCTCTCCTCCGCTGCCCAGACGTGACCTTCATCCTGGATGACGGCACCATCAGTGCCCACAAGCCCCTGCTGATTTCCAGCTGCGACTGGATGGCTGCCATGTTTGGGGGGCCGTTTGTGGAGAGCTCCACCAGGGAGGTAAGGCTACGCCTGGCCGGGCAGGGAGGAGAGGCGAGAGGCGTTCACGCCGTGTGTCGGAGGCGCCATCACTTCACAGTGCTTTCTGCAGCTCACCAGAGGGACGGGCCCGCGAGGTCTGTGAGACGGCTGTGAGCCCGGCCCTGTGGTAAATCTGCACTTCCGGGCTGGCTCCATGGCCTGTGGGGTTAGGGCAGCTGGATCCCACGTGGCTGCCTGTGTGGCTTGTCTCGGGCCTGGCACCTTGAGAAACATGCCGGGCGCGTGTGCCCAAAGTTCCAAAAGGAGGGAGAAGGGAAGGGGTCGCGACGTGACCGTTGCCCAGGGGTGCTTCCTCACAGCCCCATCTGCCCTGTGAGCACACGTATCCTCTAGCAAATTTTAAAAGAATGAAGGAAAGATAAAAGAAGAAGTTGGGACTTGAACTCCAAACCTCAGGTTGGTAGGCTCTGTACCTTGCGTGCAGCTAGAGAAGCAGGCTAAGTCCGCCGCTGTTTTAGAATAGATTTCACCACCGATGTTAGTCCGTGTGTGTTGCTATCGCAGAAACACCCGAGACTGGGGGACTTCTAAAGAAAAGGCGTGTTGGCTGGGACTCTGGTGGCTGGACCGCCCACAAGCAGCGCCAGCCTCCAGCCTCGCGAGGAGCAGAAAGGAAGGGGGAGGTGTGCAGGGAGCTGCGGGCGGCTCACCTGCTGTCTCTGGGGAACGGGTCAGGGCGCACGGCTCCCTCCCCAGAGATGGCATCCGTGATTCGCGAGGAGTCCTCCCTCCGCTAGGCCCTCCGCTCGCCGTGCCTCACTGCTGTCGGGTCATAGCAGTCTGCGGGCACACGACACTGGAATCATGGTGTCATCACTGAGGTGCTGAGGCCACGAGGTCAGGAGATGACCGCCACTGAACAGAGAGTTGGCTTTGCTCACAGGCCCAAGAGGAGGGGCACCTCCCCCTGCGGTAGGGGTATCCCGGGGGCACGCGGGTTGGTCAGGAAGCGGAGGGTTTCCCTGGAAGGACTGACAGGTGCTGCAGGGAAGCAGGCTTGGCACTGGCTAGTCCGACTGATTTCAGTGGGCAGGCTCTGGTGGGGAGGGGCTGTCCCTAGTTGTCTGGTGCCCATCCCTGGGGTGCTTAGGGCAGGTGGACAGCAGTCAGAGTGAGAGACCCCGACAGAGGAGGTGGAGGGGTATGGGCTCCGGGCTGGTTGGTTCAGGCAAGGACAGGCACCCTCACAGGCCAGCAAGGCTCTAGATGTCCAAGCATCGGTGCAGACAGTAGGAAGGCGTGCGTCCTACACCCTCCTTGCTCGCCCACCGCTCTCTGCTGACACTCCCACTGGCCCACACACCTACACTGGAGACTCAGAACGGGCCTGTGTCCCTAGAGATATTCCCAAGTCTCTCCTCTCTTTTCTGTTCTCCCAGAAAACAGCCCAGCCTCGGCCTTTGGTTTTCTCAAGCACCAATTACCCATTGCCCAGCTGTCTGGGCTGATAAGCTCCGCTCTGTGCACACGCTGAGAGTTCTGAGTGTCCACACAGTCCCACCTGATCTGAAACGGCTTTTCCTTTTGGTTGCCAGAAGGCACATGCACTCTCAGGTTGGGGGAGAGAATCCTCTGATGAGTGTGGCCACACCACAATCCTTTTTCCTCCATTCCTCCTTCCTGTCAAGATTCTGGGTACACACCCCCAATCCCCCAGCATGTTCTTCAAACTTGAGCCAGGACTTGAACTGCAGTGGGCCATGTGCGATTGACTGTGCTTTGGAGCGAAAGGACTTGATCTTCTATTTCTGCCAAGTCCCTGCCACCCCAGCACTGTCCTCTTAGTCAATGTCACCCAATACGTGCATGAAAACTGAAACAAGAACAATGCCGCATCACACCCTGTGATACAGAAAAGGAGTCTGGTGAGATTTCTAGAAAGGAAGTGCTTAGGAGGGCCAAGTGGAGAGGTCGAGGCCGCAGCTGGTCTCTGCAGCGGGGCAGGGTCAGGACACACCTGGAGAGCAGGAGCTCTCTCTCGCAAGGCCCATGTTCCTGCCAGCCCAGCACTCCCAGCGCCACACACACCAGCTCTGGGACTGGAGCTGACTCCTGGCGCAGCTTAGACTCGCGCCTGATGAGAAAGCAGTTTTGGTTGTAGCTGCTGTGAAGAGGTCCCTGAGGCCCAGCCCTACTTCCAGCAGCCAGAGACAAGGCAGCTGGTGTGGTCTGCTCATCTGAACCCCCTTCTGCCACACCCTGCTGGGGCAGGAGGGCCGAGGTGTGACCCAAAGGACTCCTTCGAGCCTCCTCCAAGCCAGAGCGGCTGCGGAAGGATGCCAGTGGGAAGCCAGATCCTTTTGAGAGACCAAAGGGAACTTCAAAACCTTGGTGGAAAAACGGAATTAAAGTATGAATTTATTTTGGTGCAAACAGATTCTGAAATGCACACTTAGTGTTTTCCTAATGTGCATCTCCCAGGAACTTTCTGCAGACCCCTCACCTCAAAGCCCTGTTTACTGGTGCTGTCAGCAAGCAGGCCAGGCTGCAAGGTCTTTGAGCTGGCTTTCAGGTGGGCCCTCTGTGCCCCTGCAGGTGGTGTTTCCGTACACCAGCAAGAGCTGCATGCGGGCGGTGCTGGAGTACCTGTATACCGGCATGTTCACCTCCAGCCCAGACCTGGACGACATGAAGCTCATCATCCTGGCCAACCGCCTCTGCCTGCCGCACCTGGTGGCCCTCACAGGTAACTGCCGGGCACTCAGGGCTGTCTCTGGGGAGAGGGCAGGGAGCCCACAGAGCCATTCTGTGTTCTCCCCTCTGTCCCCCTGGGGGACAGGCAGCAGCACCGAGGGAATAAGCGTGCGTGAAATATGGTCTGCTGCTGTGCGGCGGTGCACGGGGACAGAGATGTGCAGGCGTGTGTGTGGAAGGCATGTCGGAGGGGTCGCCTTGGAGGCTTTTCCAGAGGTTGTCTGAGCCCACCCGGAGAGGACAGAGCTTCATGTGACTGGTGTGCTGCATGCGGACATGCCGAGGATGTCCAGGAAGAAAACACAGTTCCACGTCTTTTCTCTCCCTCGTTTTTGTTTTAATTGCCAGAGGGTACGTGCACCCACCAGAGAGAGAGAAAAAGAGTGCGCGAGAGCACCCTCCAGTTGGTGTGGTCACGGCACAATCCTGATTCCATTTCTCCATCTTTTGGGATGTTAGGGTGTACACACACATGCACCTACCATGTTTAAGCCACCAGCACTGGGATTTAAACCAGGTGGCCATGTGGGATCCAGCTCTTTCAACCTTCAAGGTTGCTCCAGAGAGGAGTCTTTGTGTGTGTGTGTGTTGGGGGGGGGCAGATTTTTGCTATATGGTATGTGCACTCACCAATGAGACAGAGAAAGACAGAAAGTAAGAAATCACCCCCTGGGGGATGGCTATGCCACAATTCCTTCTCCTCCATTCACCTCTTGGGATTTTGGGCATGCACACACATGTGCCTGGTATGTTTTGAGTTGCCAGGTCCAGGACTCGAACTGTGGTCAGTCTTGTAGAAGTCCAGCCCCTTAACCACTACACCACTTGCTGGCCCCAGACATGAGTCTCAATAACCTCTCCCATCTGTATCAGTGGCTGATTTGACTAGGGGCTTTCACCCGGCCTATACTGGAGTACTTGGTGGGACATACATGGTCTGGAAATCCTCGTGGGTGACTTTAGCACCCTCCTTCCCCTGCCACCCTGCCCTGAGGAAGCTGGCTCTCACTGCAGCTGCCTCGGTGGGGCCAGACTTGTGTTGCCTTCCTGGCCTGTTGGAAGTCCCAGCCCTGCCCGCTGCCCTGCAGGGAGCTAGCTAAGGGTGTGAGGGGCACGGGTTGTGCAGCTCACTGCGGGCTGTGTGTGTCACAGAGCAGTACACGGTGACTGGGCTGATGGAAGCGACCCAGATGATGGTGGACATCGACGGTGACGTCCTGGTGTTCCTGGAACTGGCTCAGGTACCACAGCAGGGGAGGAACCTGCACCGCTCCGACTCCCGGCTCTGCCCGCCCCTTGGCAGCGAAAGGGGAGGCTGGGAGGTGTAGGTAGGAGGGGAGCCCATAGTCAGGGGTAAGTCCCTGGCTGGGCAGACGCTGTCTCATCCTCCCTGCCACACTCAAAGAGAAGAGAGTGAGGCTGTGGCCATTGGGGTGTTGGGTGGGGGGGTGGCAGGCCACTGTAGGCATGGCTGACACCTACGTGAGGTCGTTAAGGGCAGTGAGAGCTCTCATCCCAAATTAACTGCTGCTCCCTTGTTCAGCAAAATCCCCACGCTGGCTCTTGTAGTGCCAGAAACCCAGCCACCAAAGATTGCGTTATTAAGTTAAAGCATGCTGACCCGGGCTTGCAGACACACCACAGAAAGCTCGCTGTCTAAGCCCTGCTGTCTACACGCTAACCCGGGCTTGCAGACACGCCACGGAAAGCCGCTGTCTAAGCCCTGCTGTCTACACGCTAACAAGGACCGTCTCCATCCCTGACTTGAGAGAAGGGAGGAAGCATGTGGAGTGAGATCTGAGGGCCACGTGCACCAGAAGCTCAGGGCCGTGGGTGTCTGCGGCTGGGTGCCGAGTGGGCAGGACGGGGTAGGCAGTGCCGGTGCTGCTGGAGCCTGGGAGCTGAAGTCAGATGTGCCTTCCTCGGAGGGGGCTCTTTGGGACCACAGGACTCTGGGCCACTTGCAGCAAGCTTCGCCCTGAAGGCAGCAGGAGGGTGGGGTGGCTTGCAAGCCCTGCCCGCCTGGTCCCAGCACGAATGTCTGTCTCCCCCAGTTCCACTGCGCCCACCAGCTGGCTGACTGGTGCCTACATCACATCTGCACCAACTACAACAACGTGTGCCGCAAGTTCCCGCGAGACATGAAGGCCATGTCCCCAGGTGAGCACACCGCCCTACAGCACCAGCGCGCCCTCCTGCCCAAGGGCTCTGCCTGGGTGCAGTGTGCCCACCTGCCCAGGACCTGGTGGCTGCCAGCCACCCTTCAGCCCCCTTGACCTTGGGACAGCCAAGGTGGGGCAAGGGTGCCAGGAAAAGCACTGGCCCAGAGAGACCAAGAGGGTGTGGGCTAGAGTTTGTAGTTCCTTTACTATTTGTTTTTAATCACCAAAAGCACATGTGCTTAAGGAAGGGAGAGGGGGAGAGGGGGAGAGAGGGGGAGAAAGCGCCCCCAGTGGGTGTGGTCATTCCTCACCTCCAGGGCTCCAACCTGTCAGGGTTCGGACACACGCGCACACACAAGTCTGGCATCTTTCTCAGGTTGCTGGAGCTGGAATTCAAACCTGCGTTTGGCCACGTGGGATCTGGCTCCCTTAACCACTAGGCTGCAGGGCCAGCCCCGTTTTCTGACTTTTCTTGGACAGGATGCTGCAGTAGGAAATGCTTTTTCTGCCATGACCCGGTGCACACATAGGAAAATACATCCAGTGTCTACGCGCTGCTCATGAAAAAAAATTCCCAGGCTGCGAACGGCACGCCACGGCTGGGACCTCCTGGCCCGGACGACCTCGGGTCTCCTGCATAAATGAGGCCTCCGGTCCTAGAGCCCAGCAGGCACTGCCCAGGCTGCAGGGGCTTGGGGGCTGTCACTCCTTGTCCCTGGGTCTTCACTGCACTCACTCCACTGCCACGTTTCTGCTGTAACCCTACCAGTTTCCAACCACATTCTCTCCATTTCACATCTGTTACAACCCTTCTAGCATTTTCTAGAAGACAGTGAGTTAAAA